TTACTTAAAGCATTATCGAATTTATTGATAATATCAGGTTTGTATTGTGTGAATCGTTTGATTTGCTTAGTTCCTAGTAGCTTGCCTTCCATCATAAACTCGGCGTACCTACGCCCCTTACAAGAACGACCCGATTTTCTTGTTTCCTTAGTTTCATCTTTTGTTTCTTCATCCATGCCAGCACCTTTATCTGGAAACATGCTATCCACAACCTTATTCATCAACTCCTGCTGTGTCATGTTTTCGGGTTCGTGGAAACCATTGTTCGGGTCACAGTCAGGTGTGTCTTTTATGAATGTGTTTTCATTATAATCAACCTCTGCTTGCGACTTGATTCCAAAAATATCCTGTGCAACGTTATTATTGTCACTCTCACTAAATTCGTAAAATTTTCGTTTTTTTATTGGTTTGGGTGGAAAAGAAGTGGTAATTGTATCTGTACTTGGAGTTATCAACAATTGCTTATGTTTTTCACTATTATTTTCTACATCGACATTATTATTATTATTATTATTGAGGAATGAGTTTGTGTCCATCGCTTCACTTGCGTACGTATTATGACTATCTGGAGTTTTAGTTGTGGAGCAGTTAGTTTGCATTAACGATGTCAAATTTCCCAACTGTGTTTCATCTGCCAGTTTGCCTGGAGTAAATTCGGCAGAAGTTGGAGTTGTGTGTGTAGGGCTTGCTAACGGCGACGAAATTTTGTAAACACTGATTGGACGTGTGTTTAGTGTTCGCAGTGGTGGCGCTGGAAGTTTGTACCATTTGAAATCCGGATTGGCGGAGAAGAACGCATCTTTGTACTAAGGAAAAAGAAAGGTAATTATATTCAAGTTGCAATACTAAAATATCATGAGCATTCAAATAATTGTATTTACTGCCAAGTTGAGTAAAATAACGAACTTTGTTATTTGAAAGCAGCATCATTTTGCTTGGAGAATGATTAAAAGAACACCTCCAGTGATCAGGGTCTATAAAATTCATAACAAAGCTAAGGAAGTCGCTCCCCCCACCTCTTGGGAACAGAGGGACGGCACGAAGAGCGGACACGAGGTTTTTTCGGAAATCCCATTCGCGATTCAGATTAACAGTGAGACCTCTGGTGGCAGCGCATTGTAATTACTATTGGTCGTATAAGCCCGCCATTTTGTTTATTTACAATGACCAAACGTAATCAATATTGTAGTTTTTAAGGCTGTAAAAGTAAATGCACTTGCAAAAATTTTATTTGCAATCATGTAAATCCACCATAAAGAGCAAGGATAGTTTAAAACGTCAGATCTTATCAACGGTACTTTAAAAATTTTAAATGTGACCAGTGAAATTATGCAACCAATAATAAGGATAATTTAATTAATCATCGTCTAACGCATATCTGCAGTCTTTAATTGTGAACAGTGCAATTACACTCCAAAAAATAGGAGATATATAGGTCATTTTTTGACACACTCCACTTTGAACTTCTGTCACTGCTATCAGTGCAATTACTCTACAATTTAACGTTCGCTTAAAGCGTCACCTACCAAAACACAACCTTCTCAAACATTTGATTTGTGAACCATGCAATGGCGCTACACACGATAAGCATAACTTACATACAATTGAAGGAAATTACGTGTACTCTGTGCGAATAGATATGCCACAAATAGTAAGAAAAATTTAAATCGTCATTTATTAAAGCATGACACATCAGAAAATACTGAGCGTTTAAAATTGTGGTCAGTGTAATTGTGCCATGAACAGTATGACTGTTTTAAAGCATAATCGACAGAAGGAAATGTCGGCGAGTTGTTGTAAAGTTGTACGAATGCGCTAGATATTGAATCTTTGTTTGTAATTGGGAAATTCAGTTCATTGTGTGTTCAAGCTAATTGAAAACAGCCTCGACTCCTTAAGAAAAAGGCCTTTCAGGTGGGATAGGATGAAAGGGTTATATTTTCAAGTCTCAAAAGCGGCAGGATAAATAAACTCAATTCACATTCAAATTAGTACAATTTCACTTAAAAGCCTGCAAGGATAACCCAATGTTTACAAACGGCTACCACATATACATGTCTGTGTAAATTACACCAGCGCCTCTAGTACTGTTAACCTGAATCGCGAATAAATTCGTAGCAGGTGAAGGAGGGGATATACGAAAGCCCCCATACTATTGGGCGCGATTAGTTCCGCCTGCGGCAATTATAAATCAATTTCTTTTTTGCCACCACTTCGGGAAGTCATCGAGACCGTTTTATATGGTCTGCATTGCATTTATTTTTTTTTAATGTGGCCCAAATGATTAGAAATATGAAATGTGATTAGGGCTTTGTAAAGAAAAATAAAGTGATCACTAAAGTCACGGTTATACAGGGTGGAACATGGTGTTAGTTAAACTAATATTTTTATTTTGTCAAATAAACTAGTTCAAAATAGTAGCTTTATTGCAACCATGAACGGGATGGGAAAACTCATGAACGAAATATGAATCAAAACATTTTTGAAATGTAACCAAAAAAAATTGTTTTGCGACAGTTGCATCTGAAATTTTTTTAACACAATGCTATTAGGAGTAATTGAAAGTAGATAACAAAAATTGTACATATAACTTTACATGTAAGGATCATTCCGATTCCTTAAACAATACAGTTTGTAACGCCATCTAGAGTGACCTTGTATTAAAGGTTTACAGAAATTATTTAAAATTCCTCACAGCATTCCGGTTCGTACGATGCAGGTGTCTACAGAATAGATAAAACATGAATTATTGCCAATGCCTTCTTTAAGGACAGTATGACCAATACATGTAATAGGTATAAACGTTTGAAGAAACAAATCGAGAGATTAGGGAGGAAAATCAATAAAACAAAGTCTTAATAGAAAGGCTATGTTATAAGTAACACAAATTGTATGTTTGTTTTTTACCCACAATTTATCTATGACTTGCAACTTCGATGACTATTACTCATAGGAAAAGTGTGCCATAAACTTAACAGTAATGAATCATCGGCTTCGAACGAACAGTTTTTGATTTATTGCCACATAATTTAAACAAATATATATAAATTTTGATAAAACCGAATGTGTATGCTAAGAATCAACATATGTATAACTTTAACCAACAGATACAAGCATGTAAGGTATACTTTTTTAATAAATGATAGATTATTATTAATTAATTTGGGTAAATAAACAGCGAGTGATAAGATTACAAGACCAAAGTGTGTGCTATTTTTTATATTTGAATCTATAATTAATAAACAGATAACAGAAGCTAGGTACAGTAAATAAAATTAGTATTGGGTAAGATAATGGAACAAATTTCCTAAATACTGGGCATTGGGATTTTGAATGTATCTACTACCACCAAATTTGAGAAAAGAAAGTGATTATCTATGTCGATCTCCAGTGTTAATAATAAAATAAATGGCACCCCGTACGCACCATCACTTCTAATTCCAGCACTGCAAACTGCAGGGGGTATTGTTTCTTTAGGTTAAAACAATGCCGGAGATAAGAGCGAGCCACCCTGTAGTGAAAAATATACATGCTGTAATTTCGGTTTGAGGATGTGTTTGTCAATTCGGGCGACGGAGCAGTGTTTCATGTATCGCCGGGAAACTACGATATGGAATTGATTAATGGAGGTGGTCTCTACTTTAAATACGAAAAATAGGAAATAAACGATGCTATTTTTGGCGTCGATTGTAAAAGCGTATGCCATTGTTGCGCTAAATTTTGACGGGCAGCTTATTTGTTCACCCCATGCTTGTGTCCAAATGGCAACTATAGATGGTTGCGCATCTGTAGAAATTATTTTTGAATATACAGGGTGCCCTATTTTAACAGTGTCAATAAATAACTTTTTAAAAATAGAACACCCTGTATATTTTTAGCTGTTTCAATGTCATTTGTTAACCTCTACCACAGATCTACACATACACAGATTGCTAACCTTATGTATTTTTTGGGAAACAAATTTAGGTATACTTAAAAGCGCCCTCTATTGCGGAGCAGTATAAACATGTACCGTTTAAAACTGTAATATGACGCTTATGGATTTATGCATTAGATGTCGCTGCAAAAAATTTAAAGCTAAAGTCACTAAATATAGAAAGTACCGCAATCCATTGGGCTCGTGTGTTAGAGAGAGAACGTATGATTTTTGCCCAAAAATGGCGGAAGTTACCAGATGCTAGTAACTTTAATGTTAGGGCTTGTACCACCTGTTTGGAGATATCTGTATATATTTTTATAAAACATGACAGTACTATAAAGTTAGGTTATAAAAAATTACAGCTATTCAGATTTTATTTGTCAATTTTTTTAAGTTGGCAGCAAATTTGCCCAAAAATGGCGGATGATTGCGGTACTTTCTATATCTAGTGACTTTATTTAAAGCGGTAAAGTGTGCATATAATCCAGTTTAATTGTATTTTTACCAGGAAAGTTGTGGGGTAGTTTTGATTTCTTTGATTCTATATGTTTTTTGGGGTGCTGAATCCGAATCTGAGGTTTGCTAACAAAATTTCATGACGCAACATTGAAAAAAATACAAAAAAAATGAAATAGTATATTATATACCACGGGACTGAAGTAGTACTTTTAATCCCGAAGGTAAAGTTTATGGCCCGACCGAAGGGAGGGCCATAATTTACCTGAGGGATTAAGACCACTACTTCAGTCGCAAGGTATATACGATATTTTTCGTACTTCCGAAACTGAAACACTTAATATGTATGGAGCTAGAGAACGCATTCTTTCAAAAAATCGCTGCTTAACAAGTTACCATAGGAACGTTGCGTTGACGTTGGTACGACAATCCCTATGCTATGGTAACAAAAATAATTTGGAAACTGTCATTGCTCGTGTCATAATTTTGGTGGTGGGTGACAAAGGTGTATTTGATATTGATAAAAAGCAGCCAAAGTAGGTATAGAATTGATACCACCGAAATCCAAAAAAACTATATGAGCACCAGTACGATACGTTTAAGAAGTAGTACCGCATACAAAATGTGGAACAACCTACTGAAATTGCCTTGTTAGTAAGTTCATCCTTCCGGGATTTTCGTCTAAATTTAATCCCGGCGGGACAAAAAGTGACACTTCAGTACTTGTCATAATGGAGTGAAGTTGTTACTTTAGTCCCGGAAGTACGAAAAAGATATTTTTTAGCAGTTTTGTTTTGTGCTTACAACTCGAAAAACTATCAACTTTTCGAAAATAACCTCCCTATCTTATATCTTATCGGCGTGGTAAAGAGTGTAACGTTAATGATGGCAGAGATATACATAGTTTGTAAGTATGCCTTTGCAGTTAGCAATCTGTCAAGACCTTTAAAGCCGCAAATAGTTTCCGCCAACTTCAAAAAACCTTCACGATTCTTTAAGAACCTTCCCTATGTTCGTGTTTTAAACGATACATGTTTATACTGCTCCGCAATAGCAATGCAATGCATAAGGTTAGCAATCTGTGTATGTGTAGATCTGTGCCTCTACATTGAAGGCTATTCGCTTTTTGTTTTTTGTCAATGTTGCCATCTTATTAATTTTTTCCAAATAATTCCCCATAAGCAATCCTCATTTTGAAAAATCGTAGCGACTTTGTTTTTTGAAATTAAGAAATACCTTTGAACAGTAATGTTAATTCGAAGAAAGGGCAACACTTTGATAATGAGAAAGTTGGATTTAGAGTGTTCACAAGGAAATGGTAAAGTTTCTGAATTTCAAAGTCCTCAATTAGTTCGTTAGCTAGATTGATTATGGGTCTACCTCATATTCCCACAGTCCTAATGTAAGCTATCTGCATAAACACCTTACAATGATACAGGCACCACATTTGTAAAATACTTTCCTGTGGTTTCTTTATTTTGTAATATTTTGTAGATTTCACAGCAGACAAAAATTGATTTTGTTCAGTTGGTTTAGACACCTATTTGTAAAGGTTACTCTTTAGAATATTTAAGATTGTTTTCAAAATATTGTAATGTGCCTTTCAAGGGCAGAAATCAACATTAAATTGCTTTCTGGATTTGAATTTGTCAGTATTATCTAATTAATGACATTAAAAACACAAACAAATGGAAATAATCAAATAATACACGCACGGAAATGCATACCAATGAATCACAACGCAATTGCAATGAAACAAAGTGGATCATTAACATCGATTATACGTTTATTAGTATTACATTTAATTGTATGTTTGAACCCCTTACTCATTTATTTATCAGCTCACATTCCGGCATATTTTAGATGGAAGGTAATGTTTACAATCTTGTTGATTCACGTAATGTTATAGATAATTAAAGAACGAAATGGAGGTTAATGACCAGTTTAGCTTAGGTTTTTCTAATAAATGAGAAAGTTCGGTGAGAAACACAATCGCAATTGAATGCCAAACTTACCTCTTTAGCTAAGTTTGTGTAGCAACTCTTTTCACCGGTTTCAAGCAGCGCCCACCACTCCCCCAGTATTCTAGTCACCCCCCGATTTTCTAAGTGAGGAAATTTTTGGCGTACAATCGGGCGGTGTTTCTTGCAAAAAATTAGGAACGCGTTCATAGGCCTTCTCGCGTGGTGCGAAGGCGATACGATTTCTTTATCAGGCGTTGTAGGCGTCGGCGATGTGTCCTGCGTTTCATGCTTAAAATCTCCTTCATCCTCGTCCTCCTCATCCTCGTTGCCGTTAATATCCCTTTCGTAATGATTTGTGCTCGCCCAAGAGGTTTTTAAAGGTTTTAAATCTAAACAGAGATTGGCTTTCAGGTAACTTTTTCTCTGACCCAACCCGTTAAGTTCATCGAAATGTTCTTTCGTCCACACTTGATTGATTGTTTCGTTACCGGATGCCGTTTGTTGTTGTGTGCCCATGTTGAAAAGACTGACGATAGGTGCTGTGTCCATTGTAAAAAAATTTTCTTTATGGAAAGGTTTATTTTTTGAAATTAAATCCATGATGTGTTTTAGGTGACAAAAGAGTGGTAGAAATTCTTCATTGTTGTTCCTTGCGTTCTACATCTGTAAAAAAAAAATATAATCAGATAATCTATCTGGCTGAACATTTTTATTCAGACACAGGGCCTTAGCTAGACTGATTTATAAGAGCGGGCCAACATATCTACAGAGCGGGCGGACGAAATAATGATTTGCTGTGTCCCGTGGAAATTTCACTCCCTGTAGAAATTCGTTTTTTTGGAAAATACGGTTCGCATAATTTGGAAGCATAACGCAAATAAAAAAATATGCACATTTTCAAAAGCTTTTCAACAGAACACATGTGCCAACTTTAGCTACTTTCGGTTCAGTGGTTTGGTAGAAAATAAGTGCACAGACAGGTGGACTGACGATCATGGAGATCTGGGTTTCTAGACATCCAAAATGCACATATCTGTCTGAAAAGTGAGAGGTCATTTGTAAGCCTCTTTTATACTACGGGTTGCAAGTGGTAAAAATGATAATAATCTATATATACCATTTATGTACCTACAACCTGGGTTACCACACAATAGACCTTGCTCATTTAACAATAGAAACAAACTATTAAACTCCATCTTTCAACTTAAAACAGTTTCTTAAATTTACATTTTTTTTTTACTTTTAAATACATAAGCCTATAATTTCTTTGTTTATTAAGTTATCAGAAATGTGTTTATTACATTGTTGCATAATCTGCTGTTTTCAAAATAAGTATATGGGGTCCGGTTAAAAACTTATCGTTTTTTAAATGGAGTCAATTCAAAAAGAATAAAAAGAAGTGTTTAAAAAAATTTAAAAAATTGTGTAAATTTTTATTTTTTATTTTATTATTAGAACCTTTTCTTATCTTTTTTGAATTTCTTTGAATCGCTTGAATCTTTTTTTAAATATCCCTGGTGTGCTATAGTTTTGAAAATAGAATTTAGTATTCTGTCTGTTTAGATTAAAATATACAGGGTGTTCCATTTAGAAAGATGAGTTTAGGTCCGATAACTTTTTTTCTTGACCTCGTAAACTTACTATGAAAATGGTAGATTATGAAATATTATTTGTAACAAACAGTTGGCCACCCTATACAGACCAAATCAAATTTATACGCAAACGTTAAGTTGTCCAATTTTAATAGGTGACATGATTCCGATTTCCGAATACTAAGCACCTTTCTCGTATATTTGATCATGCTATGCGTCATATTAGGCAATTTTCACGAGCGGGCAAAGTAGCGGGTTTGTCCGCTCTTGCCCCCCCCCCCCCCCCCCCCCCCCCCACTGGCTATGGTCCTGTTTAGACAATATCCTTGTTTTTTTTTTGTTTTGTTGCAGGTAATGGGAAATTTGGATATGGCTGTCACAAGACTCACAGGTATAATATACAGTGTGCCATACAATAATTACATTACCGCTCGACAATCGTTTGCCTTCTGTTAAACAAGACGGTGGCAAGATTTCCAGATAATAATAAAGGAGTAAGAGTTTCTATCTTGTTTACCTATTGATCAGATTATAAGGCAATATTGTTCTCTCAACATAAATCCTACATGCCATATAGGTAGATCGAATGCACTCTGTAATTTGTAAACCAAACACACTATATTAAGTAAATAAATACTAACTAGAAAACGAGGCGAAATTAAATTAATGTAAAGTATGAACCATCATTTGAGAAATGGTAGGTAACGGTAATGAGTTAATAGGTGTTAATATATTCAACCTGTTGTCTTTGATCCCACAGTTTAATATCTTGAAATGGTTTAAAATAGTTAACCTTGATTTCAGCATAACTTGGTTATAGAGCTCTATAATAACGAGTTTTAATGTCCACCTTTAATAATGAATGCAATAATTATCGGAACTGTATTTATAAAACGTAAGCGCAGTCGGATTAGAAATATCATGAAATAAGAAATTGTGATAGTTGTTGCTGGTACATATTTGCGAATTTTCCAAGAAATGAGTTCGTTGCAATAATTACGTAAGGAAATTAAATAAAATTTCCTATAACAATATTTATGAATACATATAAACAAAATGCGCGGATCAAAAAGTGAAACAGTAGGTAGGTGTAAATTATCATTTACCATATTGATCTATAGGAAGGCATTTCCATATTGGATCGCGCTGGACTTAAATTTAACAATCTCAGTCCAAGCAAGACTTTTGGCATTGAGATTAACTATCATCGGCCATCGCTTTCTATTTTACCTTTCCAACAAACTTTTCTTTTCAATGGTAAAACATAAAATCCCGTTTTTCCCTGTTGCCGTTCCCGTTGGAATTTCGGAAAGTGTTTTATTACACCAAGAACCTTCGCGGGCATACGTAATTGATACGTTTGACCGTTTATGTTTTCGCCTCTCGCGTGAAGTCGACGGTTTGGATTCTTCTAGAGTCGCAGATCTCGCTTTGGTGCCATCTATTAGTTATATTGCGATTTAAAATTTCGGAAAAGAGAACACTTGTTTTTTTGCGTCTTTCCGTAGATTTTTTTGGAAATTACCTTGTCCTAATAATAACAGAATGTTTTTAATGCTTCTGTAACAGTGTCCTCAAACTTTCTGCAAGATGAGATGTGTGCTACGTGATAGCTCATACAGGGTGTCAATTTTAAAACTTGCAGTCGGTCATATTTTCCAAACCAAAGAAGATATTGAAAATCGCGCAAAACCGTTTCGGCGGTATCGAGGGGGAACTAGAATGACTTTATGAGTGACAACCCCCCCCCCCCTCCTCTTCAAAAAACCTTAATGGCAACCACATACTTGTGACACATCGTGGAAAGGTTTCCAGTGGTACCAATAAAGTCAATATAAGACAATTTAAGAAAAATTCAATAATTAACAAAAAAAACTAAATGTTGACATTGAGTGATTATGGCAAATTGGCCAAGAACTTCAATCTGAGCTGCTTCATTAAGCAATCTCAGTTGCTTTCTTTTTTTATTGACTTAGTCACAACATTTTTCATGATTATTTTTTAATTCATATAGTGGTTTTTAGGAGTTGAACATTTCCAATTCATCATAATTTAACCCTCAGAACATCAATCCATATTTATTTAAAGACTTCGATTAAAAGGTTGAATCTACCAATCCACACTTTCACAAAAACCAGTGATATTTGATCCCTCCTGGCTTGTTAAAGAACATTTTGAAGATATATTGTTTAATTATAATTACTGTATGGGGTGGCTTTTAAGGACGAAACTGGTTAATAAATGATAAATTATTTCCCTTAATGTAATTTGACGTTCATTCAACTGATTGAACGATGATTTCAATCGACCAGACGCCCGAATCTACAATTCTAAAGTTACTTTCACCACTAAAAATTAAAAAAGCAACCCTCCGACACAGGATCAACCCTGAAGTAAAACCATCTATACGCTTACAAATATCCACGCTCAAATCCGGATTCGAACCAGGGACCCTCAGTACTGTAGTTCAGCTTCCACTCCACTGCGCCACAAGGGCCGGCAATTCATTGAGACAACGCTTTTTTCTTCCTTATCCATCGTGTCTCAAGTGTATCGTGAAATAAAAAAACAGTCAAAAATCTCCTAGCCTCTTTCAAAGTAAGTCATGAATTACAACTCGACGATTTCGAAAGGCGCACGCATTGTTTACCAACGCGTTACAACAGCTGCGTGTTTTTACTCGTTTTGGTAGTGGCAGAGAAATACGAGTTTTAAAGGTAAGCGTTCGGAGTATCGACTCACGTAAATGACATTCACAATGTTATCAAGACTACTTGTGGTTGAAATAACACAATATCAAACAAACATAAAAGACCACAAAAATGTATGTAGTTTTTCCGTGGTTCGTGGGGTTTGTTTCAGATATGTTTATTATATTGGCTGGTTTTGTAAAACATCCAACCTGGTATGAGCGTAAGAAAACGTTTAACACGAAGTATATTTCTGACGCAATTTACACCAGACAAAGTATCCCGCTGAAGTTCTTAAATGATTTTAATGTGGAAGAAAATATAATTTTTAAAATTTTTGTTTTCCTATTTATAGTATTTATGGTGACAATTTTGAAGAACGTGTAAGACTGACCCCGTCTAAATCATTTTCACAATCTTCAAATTTGGTAATATTATTTATACAGGGTGTCCCAAAAGTGGTACACTCCCAACTTGAAAATTCTAAATGGGACAACCTGTGTTGTGGAAGCTCGGCTCGGCAGCCCTGTTGAAACCCCGCCCACTTAAAAAAATAAAATAAAATGATAGAAAAGAGATCACCACGTTTATAAGGAAGCATATCGTTTTTCCAAGAACAAGAGTGGAAATTTCCATACCCATTAACTGAGACATTGAAAGATGTGCTATTATTTTTGCCTGATTTTGAATGGAAAGGCATAAGATTTCACGAAGCTGAATTTTGGTATCCTTTGTCAAGGCGTATCTAAGACATTATTTCTAACATAAAATTTCGTAGTTCACAGTACTTGACTGTGCTGTGTGCGCATTTATTTTGTATTTAAATATCACGAGTGAAGTGATGTAGTGATTAGGACACGAAACTTCAAAGTGAGAGTACATGGATTTGATTTTCGCACCCGTCAGACCACCTTCGATGTTTTATCGCGCGGGGGATCCACTCAGCCTCTAACATGTGTAACGTCCCATTGTTTTGTTTAATGTACCTACTCTTGGTTTGAGTGATTGACTTAATGCGCTCTTAGTGTGTTAGGAGTAGTTGGTACCATTGCTATTGCGTGGATATTACTTTTGCTTTTGTCGTTGAAATTTTTGCGAAAGATATATTGGAGAATTCCAGAGTCATCACGCTAAAATTGTTTAAATTAATTATCTAAGCGTATTTACGCGAATAGGGAGGACTGTATCCTCCTCAGGTAAAGTATTTCTTTCTTTGTTAACATGTTTCTTTTTAGGTTATGCCATTTGTTTTAATATAATTACCTATCTTTTATTTACCTATTTCGCAACCCGAAACCCATTTATCAATGGGGTACGTACGTAAGGTCGAATTAACTAATTGAAATTGGGTTTGATTTTGGCATTGTAGTTTTTGGATGTATCTTACGTTAACAAGCGTT